GGGGGGACTGTCAGGGAGTTAGTGGCAGTGGGAGCGTGCGATGGAGGCGCTCACATCATGGCTGACCCGGAAACAGTAGAAAGGCTGGAGGAAAGCACACCAGAAGCCGAGTGCTGTAGCAGGAGCAGGGGCAGCAATGGAACCTTCCGAGGCTCACCTCCAGGGTCCTGCTGCTGCCTGCCTGTCCCCACTTCCTGAAGGTGTCACACTCCCCAGAGAGTGCCACCCGCTGGGGAAACCAGCCTGCAGAACAGGATCCTGTGACAGACATCCCTGATTCACACCTGTGTGTGTGTGTGTGTGTCCTGCAGAACAGGATCCTGTGACAGACATCCCTGATTCACACCTAACAGTTCAGCCGGCAGCTTTGGGGACAGGACAGTGGAGTGGCCCTACAATGCAGTGGGTGGCAGACAGCACCGTGGGTCCAGCCACATCTGAGCTGCAGTTAGGGGCCAGTTGGCAGAGGCTGGATTGGAATTGACACGATCGTCACATGCCTGCCAGCATGCAAATCTCTTTCTCTCTGGTCAAATGGCTCTAAGCACCAGGTCCAGGTGCCACCTGCCTGCTCTGTGTCCAGCTGCTGCCCCCTGTGTGCCTTCAGGATAGGAAAGCCAGAGGAGTGGCGTCTGAATGACCTTGAGTCACTGACAGCCCAGGCCCACTTTGCAGACAGCAAGATTAAGACGCTTGAAGGGTCTGGTGACTGATCGAGATCGATTATTCATTTTTGTGGTGTTCCGGATGAACTCAGAACCTCCCTTATGTGGGCTGGGCAGGCGCTCTACCACAGAACTGGCACCTCAGCCCCTCACTGGGGGATTCGAGGCAGGCTCTCTACCACATACTTAGAGATACTACGTAGAAGCTGAAGCCCTGGTTTTATCTGACAAACATGATTTGCATCTTATGTAGGAACCAACTGAACAGTATTAATAGAACTCTCTGGATCCCCAGTCACTGGGCTGCAGGCTCTCAACCTCTCAGGGCCCACTGGCTCTGGGACCCCCACAGACCCCAGCTGGAGCAGGTGGGCACAGCAGGGACTCGAAGCTGCTGACAAACACAGGGCTTGGCCTCACCAGAAAATTCTCAGAATTACGACATCCCAGAAAGCTGTGCCAGAGACACACCGCCCTGTCCCCTGAGTGCAGCTGGGGACTGTCCACAAAGCCAGCTGGAGGTGTCCTCATCGCAGGCCAGGCAGCCAGATCAGAGCTAGACACAGGGCAGTCCTCTGCGGCCACCACCTCACCACCCCCTTCTGTCCCCTGTAGCCTCCCACCACTGCCCACCTCAGGCCCCTGATCTGGCCTGCAAGGCCTTAATTGTCCTAGCCTTGTCCTGCCCTTGTGCGGTCCAGCCACCCATAGCCCCTAGGCCCCATCAAGTTTCAGATCGCCAGAGAAGGGATGCTATGGGTCTCTTTCCTGCCTCTGTGATCAGCAGTGGGCTGAGGGCGTTTCTCCTCTGAGCCTCAGTTTACCCCTCTGTGAAACAGGAATAATAATTGGAGTTTCTACCTCAATGGTGAGTGTGAGGTTCAAATGCAAGCATGCATGCAGAGCCTGCTGGCCTCTCCCTGGGAACAATGTTGTGGAGACATGGCTCCAGTTCTTCAAAACACCCGCAGACCCTTTTCACCTAGCCCAGGGCCCTCCTCTGCTCACAACCAGCAGAACAAGCAAAAACTCAGAGGTGAAAAGGATCCCAAGGGTCCTAGTGGGTCTTTCTCCTAACTCAGGATCACCAGCCACCTCCCAGGTCAGCTCCACTCTGGATCATACAAACAGCTTTGTCTGGCTGTGTCTGCCTTGGTGGAGTGAGGGTCAGGTATGAGGAAGGACTGGCTGGAGAGGGCACTAGGTGGTCACCCTAAGCAGGTGATCAAGGAAGGCTTCTTGGAAGAGGAGGTGTAAGTAGGGATCCTAGGGAGTGAGAAGCCTTGGGGTGAAGCTTCAGGTCGCAGGGACGTTCCAGAATGCATACAGGATAGATGGGGAACAACAGCCCCAGGAGCTGGGAATGTGGAGCTGGCAGAGTGATTGCCCAGCGTGTGTGAGGCCCTGGGTTCCATCCCCAGCACTACAGAAACTGGGCCAGCTCTTGGGAATTGGAGGCAGGGGAATCAGAAGTTCAAGATTGTCCTCGACCACAGAGAGAGTTGGAGGCTAGCCTGGGCAACATAGAGACCCTGACTCAAAACACAAAATGCCTGGCGGGGCAGCATTGCCTCATGCCTTTAATCCCAGCAGAGCCAGGCGGATCTCTGTGAGTTCAAGGCCAGCCTGATCTACAGAGCAAGATCCAGGACAGGCACCAAAACTACATGGAGAAACCCTGTCTCAAAAAAAAAACAAAAACAAAAACAAAACCCCACAAAACACCTTAAAAAACAAACAAACTCTTTCATCCCTCATCCCTCCTTTATCAGATCACACTTGGTTTTCCCCACATGAAGTTGTTCCATCTTTGAAAAACGCCATGTTTCGCTCCGCCCCCTTTTCCCTATAGAGACTCCCGGGTTTACTCATGGGGAAAGAGCTCCCTAAGGGAGTCCATTCCAGCCGTGTGCCGGGGGCTCCCCACCTCCCTGCCCACCCCATGAGCCCTCCACCCCTGTGCCACCCACCCTGCAGCCCGCCCCTCTCTCTCATCCCCGCCACAGGAGAGTGAAGATGCCGTCAAAGCGCTGGCCAAGGAGAAGGACCTCCTGGAGCGGGAAAAGTGGGAGCTTCGTCGGCAGGCCAAGGAGGCCACGGACCACGCCGCCGCCCTGCGCTCCCAGCTGGACCTCAAGGACAACCGCATGAAGGAGCTGGAAGCCGAGCTAGCCATGGTGAGCTCGCTGTCCACAGGGGCGGCCCCGGCTATTGCCAGAGCTCTGAGGTCGGCAACTGAGGAGCAACCTGGGCTACCTGAGCCCCCGGGGGAGAAGGCGGTCAGGAGGCTAAGGGCTACAGTTCACTCATGAGTTGCCGACTTCCTCGAACCCAGGAGCATAGGGACCCTAGGAGGCCTCCAAGGCCTCCCCTGACCACACACTCCCCAAGCAGCTGCTAAAAAGTGGGGCGATGAGAGGACAGATTTTGATGCAAAATAATCATAATTGCTTGGGGAAATATCTAGGAAGAGATACACAAAAAGATAATAACATCTCTGATTCTAGGATTACAAATGGTAATATCTGCCTATCTATGCACACATACATTTATATGTGTGTGTGTAACATATACCTATGTGTGTATCAACTATTTTTTTATGCAGGGTATTTAAAGGCTTTTGGTCCAAATGTATTTATAGCAAAATTGTCTTTCTTAGGTCATCGAGTGAAAAAAAGATGGATTTGTTGTTGTCTTTAATGATGTGAAACCACTGATAGCCGTTGAAACAAGGAGGCATGTTTCAAAAAGGCCTGTGGCTCGTGTGTGGGCATCAGAGCAGGTCCGGGGGTCTGACCGTGTGATGACTCCTGCTGACTCTTTTTATTTGTTCTAATTACATTTGTGTGTGTGTGTGTGTGTGTGTGTGAGAGAGAGAGAGAGAGAGAGAGAGAGAGAGAGAGAGAGATTGAGATCAGAGGACAATTTGTTGGAGTTGGTTCTCTCCTTCTACCATGTGGGTCCTGGAATTGAACTCAGATCATCAGGCTTGACAGCAAGCCTCTTTACCCAGTGAGCCACCCCCTCCCCCGCCCCTTTGTGTGACTCTTTAGTAGTGGGATATATTACCCTGCAGGGTGCCGTCACTAGCTAATGCAGTTACAGACCTCGGTTGGGATGTTTGACCTCTTCGGCCTCCATTCTACGTAGGGATCCCTGCATATGCCCCGTAGGGCTTCGGGGAGGATGTAAACGAAACACAAGGAAACAGCTACCATGGCATCTGTGTATGGTGACGGCAAGATTGCAAAATTAGAGTGAGGCCCCCTGAACAAGGCCGCTGCCTTGTGCAATGCTGACCCCTAGTGGTGAGGGCCGTCCAGGCAGGAAGACTGCCTCCACTTGTCTCTTGTTGATACTTGTTGCAGCCCTGAGCAGGGTGGGTGGGAAAGACCCTGTGTACCCAGATCACCCAAGTCCCTGTAGACAGATAGATGAAGCACTATTGGTGCTTTGAGCCCTGGCTTCAGTATCTTATGGGTTCCCTGGTGTTCCCTATACTAGGAAGTAGCCCCTCTGTCTTCTGCTCCCAACATACTGACACACAGCCTGCTTCGCTCTGACCAAAACTCTCAGCTCCTCCCCCTCTGACCCCCTTCAGACCCTCTGCTGCTGCAGGCTTGGAGCACCATTACAGGAAGTACCTTCCTAGAGGCAGAGGGAAGTGCTTTACACGGACCGGTGGTGGCCCCATCTCCTCCAGGTGTCCTTCTGACTGCACATCCCCTTCATCACTTGACAGGCTTCAGACTGTGCTGTGGACAGCCCCAGACCTTTCTTCTCTGAGGTCAAGGCGGACACAGGGAGCCCTCTCCCAGAGCACAAGTTGCAGAGATTGTAGGCAACAGAGCTGCTCTGCCTAGCAGAAGTGCACGGAATTCTGGGAGGAAGTCAGGACCCACCAGTGCAGTGGGTCAAGGGACGTTCACATCGGAGCAGCAGAGGTCAAGCCCAGCTCTCCCTGAACTTGGGTCATGTGAGCATATTCATCCCAGCTTAGAAATCCCCAAGAGCTCAATGCTCCAGGTTGGGGTACTCAAGGGACGATGGAGGCCCAGAGAGAAGTGGGGTGGGGGTGAGGGGGGTCAGAGCTCAAGAGAAGCTCCCAGCATTGAGTTGTGTGTAGTGGAAGTGATTAGTCAGACATGCTGTGTCGACTGCTGGTGGCAGATGGTCCACGCAGCCTGAGTGAGCTCATGCCTGCCTCCTCTGCAGCTCACCTCTACCCAGGAGATCGCCTTTCTTTCTCTTCTCTGGAAATCTTTCTCAGAGAGTTCAAGACCTGCATGGACAGCGTGAGAGGCTCTTGGGTCTAGTGCTAAGAGATCTAGACGTGGGAGCCCTAAGGGATCTCTCACTTGTCAGGTAGTGATGTTCTGCTCCACACAGAGGGCCCGCTCCTGACCCAGCCAGAGGTGAGGTCCTTCACCCCGGGGGGAGAAAGCAAGTGGGAATGGGAAGGCATCACATCTGGGCCTCTTCTTGTTCTGCTGCTGGTTCTATGGGTTCGTTTGGGTGGTCCTCTGCACTCTGTGTATGTGCCTGGGATATTTGCAAAAGGGGAAAGCATGCCAGGCTGTGGTGGCGCACGCCTTTAATCCCAGCACTCGAGAGGCAGAGCCAGGCGGATCTCTGTGAGTTCGAGGCCAGCCTGGTCTACAGAACAGGCACCGAAATGACACAGAGAAACCCTATCTCGAAAAACCAAAAGAAAGGGGGGGGAGCATGATGGGCCTTTCCCTGTCTCCTTCCCTTCCTCATTAGCCTCCTCTGGCCTGCAGGATCCTAGAGAGCTGTCGTAGAAAACAGTTAACCGAAAGAGTATGCATGTTCCATGTCTAGTGCATGCTCCTTTTCCTACTCAACAAACTTAAGATCCTGTCTGATAAAACCCCACTTACCTGGGTGGAGTAGGAGATCACTCCAAGCTAAGAGGTCTCTGAGGCAGGACAGAGAGGAGACCTTTGCAGAGGCAATCTCGCTACCCCCAACCCCACATGTAGCGCCATGATTGTGGCAGTACCCCCAATATGGGCTTGTCCCTTGGAGCCCAGATTATACCAGCCATCCACCAGCTCACCTCTTCTGAACTAGTATTTATTGTGTGCGTTCCGCATGGCGGCCACCTTTTCTGTTGCCGACAGATGCTGGATACGTGTGGTGCAGCTGTCCTGTGCATCATGGGGTGTTTAGCCGCTTTCCTGCCTGTGACCTTCACGTCTCCCAAACTCGATCTCAGACCTGCATTTTACAAGCTTTACCCAAGAACACACCCCCTACCCCATGTTCTTAGGCCCGTCACAATCCCGGCTGGGGTCGGGGTGGCTCTCTTGACAAGGTACTTGCACCTCAAGCATGAGGTCTGGAGTTCAGTTCTTTAGAACACGTGTTAAAAGGTGGAGACGGGATCCCTGGGACTTGCTAGCCAGCTTCAGTGAGAGACTGTGACTGTGTAAAAAAAAAAAAAAAAAAAAACAAGGCTCCCGCGAAACAACACCTAACATTGACCTGCAACTGGCACACACATGCACACACATGCACACACATGTACACACATGCACCCACACACACACACGCACACACACACACATGCACACACACGCACCCACCAAGAATTCTTGTCCTTGGAGAACCCAGAAGTGATGAGTGTGTGCTTGCTTCCTTCTCCCCAATAAGGGGAGGGGGGGGTCTCACTTTGCTCTTAATGACAGCTGAAGGGGAGACCCTGGTGAGTGCGGGCGAGACCTATACTACAGGTGCCTGGCGTGCACCACAGGGCTGGTGGCCCGCTGGTGTGGAAGCAGAATTCTTGGCTTTCTTGCCACGGTGGTAGGAAGTGCCAGGCAACTGCATGAGAGGTCCCCCCTGCTTACATTTTCTTCTCCCTGTCTCCCGCTTTTGCTCCAGGCCAAGCAGTCCTTAGCCACCCTGACCAAGGATGTTCCCAAGCGGCATTCACTCGCCATGCCTGGAGAGACGGTGCTCAATGGCAACCAGGAGTGGGTGGTTCAGGCCGACCTCCCGTTGACGGCAGCCATCCGTCAGAGCCAGCAGACGCTCTATCACTCCCACCCTCCCCACCCTGCAGACCGGCAAGGTGAGTCCTGCCCAGCCTGGTCCAGCAATAAGGGAGGCCCTGGGCCCAGTGGGAAAGGTGGCTCTTGGTTCACACTTCATCAGCCTGGGGCATCACAGGACACTCTCCTAACTCAGCCCACTAAGAGATGGGCTTCGGGTATAGCTGTGTCCAGAGGTTCAACTGTGCCTAAGGAGAAGTAAAACTAATTACCCTGACTGGCCAGCCTGGGTTACATGGCCACCCCTGAACGAATCACAATGTCTAAGAGAGCCAGTGTTCTGATTCGTCGGTCTGGGTCACCCAGGCATCCTTCATCAGGGGAGGGTACTGAGCTCCTTGACTGACAGCCGTAGCTAGTCCGTAGATTATGTAGAGGAGGTATAAATGTCACACGTGTTTGCTGCGGGTACTTAGCAGAGCACCAGCATCCATTCCCACTGTCTGTGGTACACACTCCTGCCATCCCATTGTGCACCAGTGGGAGCCACCTGACTCTTAAGGGTTCCCCTAGGGGATGTAGTAAAGCTGACCCTCCAGCTGCTCACACGAGGCCACAGACAGCTGCACAGGTCCTGGGCTGCCTGTAGATGGAGCGTGTAGGGTAAGGCAGTTGAACCGTAGAGGGAGGGGTCACAGGCACAGGTTCACACTGCTGAGACCGTACCCTGGCTCCGCTACTTTCAAAGGATGTGACCTCTGACCTGATACAAGGGTCATCTGGTCCTTTGGTATGAGGGATGCTGGATTCTTAATGCTCATTATGTGTTATGTGTCTATTTGTTGATCCTCTGCCCCGCCGGACTGCCAGAAAGGTAAAGTGTACAGAATTCTCAAGTCAGGGCCTTGGTAAATATTAGCTGCCCCTTGCTGTCAGCGCTGACAGGGGATACACAGGGCTTCAGACCCCCTTCTGTAAACAGACTCTGAGCCTGCCTCCACTGAATGGAGAAGACAGGAACTGCTCTTTGCTGACCTAAGCAAGAATACTCCCGTGTCCTCCCCTCCCCCAACCCCGATACCCCGGGGGATACTGCAGGGCCTTTGAAGCTATGTCAGAACTAAAGACCTTACCAAACATAAGTTCAGCTCTGCCCCTAGGCAGGGATGCTGAGCCTGGGCAGGGTGTGCAGGTGGCCCTCCAGCCTCTGGTCCGCCTTGGTGGCAGGAGGCAGAGGTGCTGTTGAAGGTGGGTGGGCAGTGTATGCAACAATTCAGGAACTAATGGAATGGTGGTGCTTTGGGTCCCTGCTCCTGCGGCCCCAGGCCTTGGCTTGGTGGGGCTGACCAGGAGTTGTGGTTAGCCAGGCCACGGGGTCCACCCTCCCGGCCCTTCCTCCTCTGCTGCCCTTGCCGGAGGTTTTGATTAAACATGTCTTCTCAGATGCTTCCAGGCCCGCTCCCCGGGACCGCCTGTGATTCTGTAACTCGGTATTTACCTGGTGGGGGTCACCCACCTCCACACCAGGCCACCGCTGGGAGGGCATTTGGCACACGGCTCCTTTCCCCTTTCCTGCTGCACACACCACGTGTCTCACGCCGCTGCTCTGCAGAGGGGCTGTCCCCAGCCCTGTTCCTGTCTGCTTTGTGTTGCTGGGGTGAGCTCCATGACAGAAGAAACTCGGAGAGGAAAGGGTTGTTCCATCTGAGAGCTTCTAGCTTCATGTCGAGCAGTCGGGGCGGGAACTCAAGGCAGGAACCTGGAGGCAGGGATGGAAGCAGAGACCATGGAGGGATGCTGCTCCCTGGCTTGCTCCTCATGGCTTGCTCAGCTTGCTTCCTTATTAACACCCAGCCCAGGGGTGGCACCACCCACAGTGAGCCAGGCCCTTCCACATCAATCATCATTCAAAAAAATGATGTCCCCCCCCCCCACACACACACTTTTGTCTAGGGGCCTCTCCAAGAGGGGCTTTTTCTGTTTTGAGTCTCTCTTTTCCGATGTGTCTCGCGTTTGTGTCGTTTTGGCACAAAAAAAAAAAAAACCCAGCACAGGTTCAGATAATTGAATTGGCTCGGAGAGGGTGAGGAGCATGCCCAGGACTGTACAACCTGTAAAGGAACTCACCTAAATTAGAACTGATTCAGAGCCGCCAACTAGCAGCTTCCCCATTGGGCCACACAGTCATTGGTAGCAAGGACTGTCTGTCAGAAATGCTTGCATAGAGTGGATGCCCAGGTAACAATGTTCCCTCTGTGTGGTGCTGGCACTGACATGGGAGAGATCTACAGTAGGGCCCAGTGGACTTCTTAGCTATGGCATCTGGGCAAGACCTTTGGGTCCACCACAGTTTATTAAGTGCCTCCAAAGAACCAGACACTGAAAGTCCAGGAAGTGAATGCATATAAGGACCACATGGTGTACTCGGCACCAGACAAGCAATGCATGTGTAAATAAAGTCCGGCAATAAGACCAGCAAAGGGAACTGGGAGAGTGACTCACTTGGTAAAGTTCCGGATGCAGAAGCATGAGGATTTGAGTTCAGTCCTCAGAAGGTAAGAAGCTGGCCATGGCAGTGCTCACCTGGAATCCCAACCCTAAGGAAACAAAGACTGAGGGGGTCCCAGGGTTCACTGGCCAGCCAGTCTAGATGATTCAGTGAGCTGCAGGTTCCGTGAGAGACCCTGTCTCCAAAAGTAAGGTAGAGAGGGCTGGAGGGATGGCTCAGCAGTTAAGAGCAATGGCTGTTCTTGCAGAGAACCTGGGTTCAGTTCCCAGCATCCACACAGAGGCTCACCACCTGTGACTCCAGTTCCACTGGGGTTTGATGCCCTCTTCTGGCCCCCACTGGTACTGCATAGACATGGTGCACATACACACAAGCAAGCACACACCACACACATAAATAAAAGTGAAATTTAAAAAGGGGCAAGTGATAGGGAAAGACATCTGTCAGTCTTTGGCCTCCACGTGCATGCACAAGTGTCTCAGGGAGTGAGTGACTGAGCCCTGGCTGCTGAAGTGCACAGGGTTTACACACACCACGCTTCATAGGTCAGGAGGAGGAGTGTGTTCTGGCTTCACTGTGAGGAGTGGAGGCAGGGAGGCCACCCTGGCCTTCAAGGGAACAGATTGCAGTTGCCATGGGCTAGGAGAGCAGATGGACTTGGCTGTGTTTCACAGACCCTGGGGAAAGAAAGGAGTTGGCCGTGGCCTGCAGGGTTCTTGTCTGGAACTCTGCTGTTGAGCTGTGGATAGGGCTGCATAGCCATTCAGGTGAGACTTCATAGACTCTCACCTCCCTCAGGTGAGGAGGAGCTGAACTGGATCGAAAGGAAGGGGGAGGGTCTCCCCAGCAGCCACCCCCAAGAACAAGCAGGTCTGTGGTGCAGAAGGGAAGAGCTGGCCACCACATGCACCTTCGCTCTGACTCAGCATTGTTGTCCATATAATGGGTGTGTCGGGTTGTCTTTCCTGTGTCGCTCACTCACCAGCTGTCCCTGTTTTCCAGCGGTCAGGGTGAGCCCCTGCCATTCAAGGCAGCCTTCCGTCATCTCCGACGCCTCTGCTGCTGAGGGTGACCGGTCATCGACACCGAGCGACATCAACTCCCCACGACACCGGACACACTCCCTCTGCAACGTAAGGCCAGCAGCAGCAGGGCCTGGGCGCTTGGGCCCTGCCCAGAAACGGCGGGGCCACGGGGTGGGATAAAGATGTGCCCGCTCTTTCCTCTCGTCCACCCAGGGAACGCCGTGGCGAAGGCATTTCCCGTTCTGTTCTTTCCTTTTGCGAGAAGCAGTGGATGTGGGGAGAGAAAGAAATGAGGCCTGTTTCCTCCTGTGTCCGGGAGGGTGAGGAGGGTCTGCGCAGCCTGGAACCCCGCCAGGTGCACCCCATCTTGGGCCCTCTCTGGGACCTTGGGCCTGACTACAGGACCACCTGTCCCCTGTAGCACCCGTTCACGTCTTTCACCCTGGAACGAAACAGATGGCTGTGATTTAATTTTAAGATCCCAGTAGTTGGGGACATGTTTGTCCTCGGCAGAGAGGTCCTGTGAAGTGGTCTTACTTTTTTAGTCAAAAAAATTTGTAATTGAGTGCTGACCCCAGCAGCTAAGAGGCACTATTCCTCCAGGTGGGCTCTCTTAGTCCATTTTCTCATTTACTGTGACAGAATGGCTGAGGCTGGGAAACTGATAAAAGAAGTGATTCCTGCTAGGCTCTACTTATAAAGGTGCCATCACTTCCCACATCAGCACCCTGGGAACAAGGTTTCCAATACAACAGACCTTTGGAAGACACTCTGAACCCATAGCCACTCCCCTTCAGGCTCCCATGCCCATGGCCCCAGCATCAGTGGATGCTGAAAACCATCTCAGCCTCTAAGAGGCGTGGAAGGTCAGAGGTGGGGACCACTTGGAATTTTTGTCCCATAAACATAGTTGATAACCCAGAGGGCTTCCCTGCCATGTCCTAATGATAGAGATGCCACACCGAAGTATCTTCAGATGCCTAAGAAGGCTTTTTCTTTCTTTCTGACTTATTTTTTTATTTTTATTTTATATGCATGAGTGTTCTGCCTGCATGTGTGTGTCAGTATACCACTGTGTGTGTGCATGGTCCCATGGAGGCCAGGAGAGGGCATCAGCTTCCCCTGGAACTGGAGTTCCAGGTGGTTTGTGAGCCACCACGTGGGTGTCAGGAACTGAACCCAGGTCCTCTGCAAGAGTAGCAAGTGCCCTTAACCACTGAGCCATCTCGCCAGCCCCAGGAGGCATTTTCAGAAACTCAAGTTACTATTGCTTTATTAACCAACAGAACTTGCTGACTATGTGATTATTTGTTCAGGATACTCAGGAGAGGGACGTGCTATGAGAACCCATAAACAAGTCCATAAGGTTATAAAAAACAGCGACTTTCCTGGGTACAAGTGAGGGGACCTTTTTCCCCATCCACAGTGAGCATGAAAAGTGTTTATTATTAAAGTGGCTACGACTACAAGGGCTGAGGAGATGAGATGGCTCAGTTGTTGAAGTGTGTGCTGGGCAAACAGAGAGAGCGGAGTGCAGTCCCCAGAATCCACATAAAGAACCAGGCGCAGTGGTGTGCACTTTTAATCCCAACACTGAGGAGGCTGAGACAGGAGGATCCCTGGGCCTCTCTGGCCAACCAGCCCCATTACTCAGTGAGCTCAGGCCAGTGAAAGACCCTGTCCCAGAATACGGCTCCTGAGGAATGACACTAAGGTTGGCCTCTGGGCTACACGCACACTCACATACTCACATAAACCCACATGTGCGTACACACATACACAAAATCGCTAAGACCAAACTTGAAAGAGGCATCCCAGCCTGCTTGGGTGGCCTTGGGATTACCGGCCCAGAGGCTACACATTGCCCATGGCAGGGCTAGGGTCCCTTCTTTTCCAGAGGCTGTGATGAAGCAGTGTGACTTCTCTTGTCCACAGTCTTGGGGATGAGGCTGACAGACCGAGAGAGCAAGGAGGACCACTCCGAGGTCTCTGTCATCCATTTTTCAACTGAAAGGATCATAGTGGACAGTGCCCTACCCCTACCACGCAGGTGGAGATTCTCAGTCTTTAGCAGACACTCTTTGGCAGATGTGCACACCCCAAACAGGAGCACCTTCCTAAGGTCCATGCTGACCTTCTCCTGGTGACCTCAGGGACAGAAATACTGCCGACAGATCCACCCACAGGAGGACTCCCGGAACTGCATTTGACACAGACCAGCCTCTTCCCAGCCTCGGCACATACCTGCTGCCTGAGGCATCTCATATATATTTAGAAAAGACGCTGCTTCCCAGAGGAGCTGTCTCAGCTGCCTGCAGAGTGGGTTTTGTTTGCACACCTTGAGTCTGGACCACAGTCTGGACCACAGTCTGCACTGCCGTTTGACAGGTCTCTCCAAAACCCCTCTAGTCCCCATCTCAACAGGTGTGCACGTAGGTAAGTTAAAAAGCCAGAAAACGGCTTCAGGTAGCGCCCTGTCCTCAGGGACCTGACCTGGTACCAATAAAATCAACACAGACTGGACTAAAGAACACCTCACACTCTGACCACTAAGTAGAGCAGAAATGAGGACTCAGCATAGGAAAATTGGATGACTTGTTTGTTTGTTTGTTTGTTTGTTTGTTTGTTTGTTTGTTGTTTGGTTTGGTTTGATTTGGTTTGGTTTGGTTTTCCAGACAGGGTTTCTCTGTGTACCAGTCCTGGCTGTCCTGGAACTCACTCTGTAGACCAGGCTGGCCTCAAACTAACTGAGATACACCTGCCTCTACCTCCCAAGTGCTGGGATTAAAGACATGTCTGTCTCACCACCACCCGGAGGGAAAATTGGATGTTAAGAGACATTCATTGGTCTGTTTATTTCTTCATGGGCAATTCCATGCCTGCAATTCCAGAAACAACCACCAAGAGTCTCCCTAGTAATGCCTTTTGTAATCGCAATGGGCTGTCTGCTCCCAGGTAGGGCAGACATGATTCACAGATGTAGTAAAAACTTTTACACATTCGCAGTCTACTAAGAGTCCCTTTCCTACCCATTTGGAACATAGTTGGCAACCCATGCAAATGTCCTACCTACTGGAACATAGTTGATGCCCCATAGAAATCTCTTACCTACCCACAGGCTATCTGATGTTCCCAAGAAAGAATTTGAAAGGAGTTTGGACCTGTGTGAGCAGGTTCCCAGGCAGTCAGGACCCAGTGTGTACTTGCTGTGACACCCTGCCTGGAAAAAGCACAGAGCTGGGAGAAATCAGGCACCCCAGATTTGAGTCCCAGCTCTATTTGTTATTAGCTCTGTAAGAGATTGTCCGTGGAGCCCTGCTTATACCTACACCCTATTAACAGTTCCTGGCAGCCCCTCCACAAAAGAAGGGAGTTGCTGTATTTTAGGGTATTTTAGTGACCATGTGGTCTCCTGAGTCAATTGTTTAATTTGTTGTTATACTTTTTTTTTTTCTTTTCCTTTTCAGTGAGTAGAACATAGGGCTTGCTAGCAAGCATCTATCACTGATCTCAACTCCTCCCTCCCGTTCAGGTGCTTTTTCCATTAAAGTTGATGTCTTTATTTAAAAAAAAAATACTTAATTGAACACATGGACCAATTAAGGCAGGAACTTAAGCCTCAAAGGATTAAGGGTTGAAAGGGCAGAGCATGCAGGAGAGCCCATCAGGTCCCCTGACTTGATGTCTGATGAGCCCCGGGGCCCCATCAGTCGGATCTGTGGAAGTGCAGGAGGGTAAGGATTTCCACTGTAAGGGCAGGGCAGCCCTGGAGGAGTTGGTGGCTTCCTTCCAGGGAGGACGCCGCCCCCCACCCCCACCCCGTCCCCCTCCTCATGGGCCACCTGTGCTCTCCCGTGTCACGTGTCCGCCGCTTCATCTTCTTCTCCTTTGGCTACAGGGCGACAGTCCCGGCCCGGTTCAGAAGAGCCTGCACAGTCCTATTGTACAGGTGGGTACAGCTTCCCTGGCAGCCCTCCCTCCACCCCAGCTTGACCCTCTTCTGTGGACGGATTTTCCTTTGGGTCGCCAGCTCACAAACAACGACATGGAGACTTCTTATGAATTATGAAAGCTCGGCCTTAGCTGAGGCTTGTTGCTAACTAGTTCTTACAACTTAAATTAACCCATATTTTTTTAATCTACGTGCTTTCGTGCGGCACACTTCCTTTACTTTGAACTGCCCCTCCTGCCTCCTCCGCGTCTGGCTGGCCACTCCACCCTTCTTCCTCTCTGAGCCCTCTCCCCAGAAGTCCCACCTAACCTCCCCCTGCCTAGAGGAATACCCCCCAACACTCTTCCAGCCTCGTTGCTCCGAACCTTCAGTTACCCCGATGTCAGTTCTGAACTCCCAAGATAGAGAGGAATTGAACCCCTCTGATACACACGGGTGCTGGCACCCGAGCCAGGTTGGCATGTGCTCTGCCTGCCCTGTAGACCCACTGTGTACACCACACATCCTGTATCCTCCTGCTGTGCTCAGCCTCTTTCCCTGCATCAATGCCTCTGAATTACCGTCCGCCTCATTCTTTAAAGGTGAGCCACAGACAATGGGCACTTTGGGCCCCTGGCTGCTGCCAAGTCTACCCCCTTTCTTGTTGTCAGTGTGAGAAAGATGCACAGGGAAGAACTTGAAGGCAGCATCTCTCATGTTATGATGTTTCCCATTTTCTGGCTCTGCACCATCCATCTGCATAGGGTTCCCCTGGAGAACAACACTGAATACATCTTGATTGCCAATTCCTAGGCCCCACCCAGTGGCTATTTGAGGCCAGACCGGAGGTAGAGGCTGCATTCCAAGTCATTCTAAAGTGTTCTGGGAGCCTTAAGTCTAGTTTATGCCCTACCCTTTCTGTAGAGAATACCAACCACATGTCATTGCATAAAGCATTTGGCCATTTGTGAAGCTCTCAGCAGGTGCTACCCCAAACCCCCAGTTAGGAGATCACTGTCAGAGTTCCTAGGCTGGCCCTGTCCCACATTCAGCATGTGTTGATGCGTCAGCTCTGCACACAGCCTGTGCACCCTGCATCGGAGTGACCACAGGCAGTGGTCAAGTTCCTTCAGTCTGCAAACTTAAGTGATTAGTAATAGTCCAAGCAGCTGGAGCAGCTCCAACATGGTGGCCGAGCCAGGATCCATCCGAAGTGTCTTTCTTCGCCTTACATCAGCGAAGTACTCAGGACAGTCTTGAGTGGGTTCTGGTACTGTCAATGAGAGGCTTTTAAACTAACCTCAGTTTGCCCAGGGGACAAGGGACCCTGGATTCCAGCCCCAGAGCCCAGCTTCTTACTCATGCTCTCCATCACTCACCTCGACCTGGACCGTGAGTTAGGAAAGCCTCCTCCCTGCCCTTCCGTCCAGCAAGCTAAGTTTACCTTTGTTCTTCTCCCCTCTGCCGCCTCAGTCACTAGAGGATCTTGAAGACCAAAAACGGAAAAAGAAGAAAGAGAAGATGGGATTCGGCTCCATCTCTCGAGTCTTCGCCAGAGGGAAGCAACGGAAGTCCCTCGACCCGGGCCTCTTTGATGGTACCGCCCCTGATTATTACATAGAGGAGGACGCAGACTGGTGATAACCCACCACCCTTCGCCCAGTGTCCGCGGGCGTGTCTGTGTGTGGATGAGCCATGGAGCGTGCGAGTGTGTGTGCATGGGGGCGCGGGGCCTGTGTGGGGTGCGTGTGCACGGGTACACTCACCCGCACGGGTGTGTGTAGCCGAGCGCCTAGGACAGGCAGAGACACAAATGTGACCCCGCCCCACTCCGCGTCGCCACCTCTGTAATCGATGTACATACCACAGACTGTGTGTGACTCTGTCACCTCTGTTGTCTCCGAGCGATACAGTTGTGTTTGTTTTTCTTGTTTGTTTTGTTTTTCGATGTTTGGGGGGTTTTTTGTTTGTTTGTTTGTTTAATCCGTTGTATTTTTGTTTTTAATTTCCCCCTCTCTCCACCCTCCTCCTTTTTATGAAACTTGAACACTTGAAGGACTGCTGTGTATTTGTAAATAACAAAAGTAGTGTGCACTTTGTGCTCGTAAAGTCCCTCGTCCAGCCGCTACTGCAGCCCATGTCGCCAAGGATGTGGTCTGCTTTCCATGTCCCCCCCTCCTCCCAACCCCTTGGTGTGAACGTGTGGGACCAGACCCTGTTCTCGGGGTGTGCCCAAGTCACTTTAACCACCCAAACACCCCGTCATCGTTGTCAGGGTAAGGTCACTCCGCAGAGACTCGTGAGTCCAACCGAGAAGCCTTGGCTGGGCTACAGTGTTTATAGGGGGGTCACACAGGCTCTTTTTAATGGCCTGCCTGTTTTTAAATTGTGTTGCTGTTTCTTTCTTTATGGAACAAAAAGAGAGAAAGAAAACTGTTGCATTTAATTTATTTGCACAAATGCAGAAAACGTATTCTATCTAAATTATTACGTGAATATCGGAATGTATATTTTTCCACGGGGTGGGCGGGAGGCGGGCATTTCTGCTGACTTGTCTATTCTGTGTTCATGCCGCTGCAGACACTGTGCAAGGTAGAGTTAGGGTGGCTAGAACTGGGGACCTCAGATGGCCAGCTTGCTTATTCTCTTTTCTCTTTTTTCTGTCTCTCCCGGCTGCTGCCCCTGCATGAGAGGACTCCCACCTTCTGCTCTGGCCTTCCTCTATATATATTCTCTCTATATATATTTATTTATCTGACATACAGAACGTGACTTCAGTGAGCAGAGGCTAGTGATCACGTTCCTCTTCTCTAGGGCCTGTCTTTGGAGCCATGTTGATTGAGTCCAGGGAATGACAGCCTGGGGCACATCCATAGGGTCTGACCAGACCTCTGGGCCTGAGTCAGCTGGGTAAGAGGCCTCCGGTGGCACACATGCGCACGCACGCACGCACTCACTCACTCGAGTGCCTCTCTATCCTTAGTTTATTCTGCACATGGGCCAGGCAGATGTCAACAGAGAAGATGCCCACCTTCTGGGAAGGGCTGTTGGGGAGAATACCTGGCGGGTGAGCCCTCTGCCCTCTTTTCCAGTTGATTTCTTCAGCCACACATGGACTCTGAGAATCCCCGGAGCCCTGTCCTCCATTTCTATCAGCAGCTCACGCAGGCTCATCCCATGAGGGCTGGCAGATGCCTATGGCTGTTTGGGGAGCAGCATTGTCCCACAGGGCTTTATCGGGGCATGGAGAACCCAGAGTTTCCAGCCAGTTCTGCCCCACCCTAAAACTCAGTTTCCCCTTTCTCTTGCCCCAGGACCCCCATTTCTACTGATCCTTAACCACTAACAGCTCAGTCCACACCCTCGTGGCCTCTGTGGCTCCCACTAACAGCAGCGTTCTCAATTCTTAAAAAGAGATTGTTCGTGCTGGATGGAGCACCTGGAATGTATAGGATCTTGTGCCCAAAGCCTCTAAAACAAGCCAAAAAGCCCCCACCAGGTCCGCTCTTCCCTCCCAACCTAGCTCGGAGGCTGTGAGAGCAGGCAGGGACACCCAGTGCGCTTCCCTGCCTCTCTTTCAGCTCAGCTGATTAACCCAGCCTGATGGCGAGGGAGAGAGGCCAGAGCTGGCATCGGGGGAGATCTTAGGAAACACTCCCCCCCCCATTGAATTTTTGTATTTTATTTTATTTTATTTGTTTTTTATGATTTCCCCTCCCCTCTTACTTACAAGAAAATAAGATTGCAACCACTCCTGGTAATGACTTAGTCATTCCTTTTCATTTCAGTTTTTGGAAATTAGGAGATCGTCCTAAGAGTTATTAAGAATGATTTCTTTGAGAGAACCACGTCAAATAGCGAATGAGTTATGGGTAACTATAGATGAGAACGACCTTTTCCCGTGGGAGAGGTTTCTCGAAGGCATGGATGCAAAATATAAAATATTAAAAAAAATCTAAATAAAGCTTATTTTAAAATATGACGGAATTCTATGTGATTTGATTGTTTCTACGTTGCTCCAAGGGGAGCCAGCCGTGTCCCCCAGGAGGCTCAGCTTGCATGACCACCAGGAAATTCCCAGGCTGGGTGACAGGAGGGACCGAGGAAAGCTGGCCGGATGCTAAGTCCCCTGAAGGGGGCCAAGCCAGGTGGACTCCCAGAACACCTTGCCTGTGTCACCTCTCCTAATTTGGAGGTGCAGTCAATATCCGGGGTTGCCCACATCCTCATGCAGCACCTCCAGGCCCAGGGTCCCCCATTCCCTGGAGCTCAGAGGCCCCCCGCCAGCTTTCTTCGCCCCCCCCCTCCCCTCACACTCCATCCGGAGGTCAGCGCTGTGTTTGATTTTGAGGTGTGCTGCCTTTCCTTGAGCCTCCGCAGACCTCTTCATCCCAAGTTCCTACCTCGGGCAACCAGAGTGGTTCGAAAAAGACCGCAGTGTCCAAGGCAGAGTAGACGAAGCTTTTTTCTCAGCTTCACAAGATCCCCCCAGATGCAAAACTCTGGTTTTCCATATGTCTTGGGAAGAGCCCATCATAGTAACTCTACATCCTGATTGTAACCGATGCCCTCAGTTTCTGTTTGTGCTCAGAAGCAAGACTGATGGGAGGATGCACTTGAATGCCCCTTCCAGCTCTGCTGGCAGAAAACATGGCACTCCAAAGAGAAACCATGCTCCAAGGTGCAAAATGCAGGACCCCAAGTCAGTGAAGTCACAGGGTCAGAAAAGCTAGCGGCCATAAGGAACTTTGGCCACCAGAGTTCTCAATGGCCAGCCATATCCCTGGAACCAAAGGCTTTTATTCTTCCAGTAATTCTAACCAGCAGCCAGGATTGAGAATCCACCATAAGGCTAATTTAAGCAAGGCAGGTATGTTCAGACTTGTGACCCGGTAGTCTGTGCCTGACCCCGTGCAGACATTACTAATCAATCAGAGTCCTTCCTACCCATCCAAGAGTAGCCTTAGACTTCTCACTTTACAGTATTGAAATCAGTATTTGGAGTACAGATTTGCAAGGATGAAGTTTATTTGCTATCCCAGAACTAGCCTGGTCTCTCAAAACTGGTTTTTAAAAAAATGGGGGAAATTTAAGCTCAGAAAGGAGTGATTTGGTCAAAGCCCACCACTCAAGAGTGTGACCACACTGACTCAAAAGTTCTACTTTACTCTGTCCTTTGAGTTTTTCTCTTGTGGGGACTCGTGCTAGAGAAACACCCTACCACTGAGCTACAGTGCCCATCAGGACCTCCTTAATAAAAGAATCCCTTCCAAGTGGCACCTGCTAGTCTTAAATTCGAGTGGGGTCACCCAGGGCGCCCAAAGCCAGGGTTCTTACTATGCAGGTTTTATGCTGTTCCTTAAGAAGGTACCATTCTCTGGGCTACTGAGTGATTGATCCCCTGGCTTGTGCAGTACTCAACCTTCAGGGCTATCCTCAGTAGCCTTTCTGCATGCTCTCCCACTCATACTACCAGGCTCCCACCAGTGTAACCAATAATAGTAACAACAATAACATCTAACATTCATTAGCATTTGCCACGGGCCAGGCTCTGTGTTGTATGCTCTCCATGGATTAACTCGGTTAACCCACGTCCTGTGTCACCAGTGGGGGATCTAAGGTTAGGTAACATCCATGTGTGGGGATTGTAGGTGTGCACTAGCATGCCTGGTTTGTGCAGTGCTGGGCATAGAACCCCAGGCTTCGAGCCTGGGGAGTCTGCCTATACCCCAGCATGTGGAACTGGGAGGGGCCAGGACTGTAGGAGGCCAGCTTCGACCTGTCGAAGGGTTCTTGGAGGGAGGAGAGAGGAATTGAGGAAGTATTAGATAGAAATATAGGTGGAGACGACTAGAAAGACAGAGACACAGGATAGCTTTGGGAGGGCCCTGGGTCAATACCCAGTAGTCCCGAGTTTAATCATGATGGGTTTTTATACATGAGCAAGGGGAGGAGCAAAAGACTCCCCCTTTCAAGGTCGAGGTATAAAGGACCAACAAGTATAGACTCTTCAAAACACCTGGTAACCGCACCTTTGGCCAAATCATCCCATTATGCAGCCCTGCTGGGCAAAGTAAGCTCAGACTGCCTGACCTTGAATAAGGTCTTGCTATGGAGCCTCTGTGGGCCCCCACACAGAACCTATAGGTATTCCTGTCATCTGGGGTGCCTTTCTGCTCAGACCTGGCTTGAAGGCCCCACCCTAATCCCACACACACGCACAAGGGCCTCTGACCCAGCCTGGTCCTGCTTTGTTGTTATAGTACAATGTTCCCATATCTGAGCTATGGACCTGAGAACCAGCTCTACTCCAGCAGGGGGAGGCATATGGCACCTCAGCCCTAAGAGATGAATCAGCAAGTGGCCCTGAGCAGCCCCACCCCTGACACTCTGTGACACTTACCCACTGCCATTGGCTCTGGGAACCCAGGTGAGGGCTGGCTGCACTGTGGACCCTTGGCCTTTAGGGATGGGGGAAGTACGGGAGATTGAAATGATGTGCTCATGCGTGTTAGACGTGTGCTGTGCCACCACATTTCATTGCCCAGGACTCTTCTTTTTACTTTCTTATTTTGAGACAGGGACTCAGTAAGTTAC